ATTTGATTATCGAACTTTGTAAAAAACTTACATTATGCAAATTTTGTCACTTAGAATCAGCCGCAAGAGAAAATTGTATATAAAGGGTAACTTTGGAGGGTGGATGGTGGGGAATGTTTCTAAAGCATTGAGTAGTAAAATATTTGTGCTTGTTGAAATTTAGATATACCTGCACCATAATGCACTCTGCTGCAATGCATTGCAACACATTGTGGTGCCTAGCAAGTTATTCAATCAAAATCACCTTAGTCAATTTGTTGTAATAAAATGAATTGAAAGTATGATTATCAACTTTTTATTTAGTGTATTCAAAGGAAATTAAAAAAAGTGTAATGAAATATTTCATTCAAATTTAACTAATATATGACTTTCTCTTTCATGCAAATCAAGGAATTATGTCGAAGGACTCTTTCGACAAAGTTATACGCATTGATAATTTTATTATCAAATGACTAGTTTGTGGATATGCGCAAAGAAAAAGTCATTTTATTTTCTTATTCAATTAATGCTTTAATATCTTTTATTAAAGACAAACTAGATGAAATAGTTTAATATTTAACATTTAATTGGGATGTGACTGTAATCTTTCATACAAATCTCAATAAACACTCCAGCACTTACGTATATGTCGAAGGACTCTTTTGATAAAGTTACATATTGATAATTTTTTATCGAACGAATAGTTAAGAGTATGCGCAAAAAAATCATTAGATGTTCTTCTCAATTTATGCTTTGAATATCTTAAAAAAACAAAAATTGGATGAAATATTTTATTTACATTTGATTAACATGTGACTGTTCTCTTTCATACAAATCTCAATAAACAGTCCAGCACTTATGTGTATGTGGGAGGACTCTTTCGATAAAGCTACGTAGTGATATTTTTTTATTGAGGGACTAGTTTGGGTAAGCGAAAAATTTTGAAATTCTCACAATTTTTTTTTCTGAAATTGAATGCACATTTTTTTTCTTTAAATATTAAGACAAGACACTACTTTATGCGAATAAAAGCAAAAAAGATGCAGTTTTCATCTAGACTCCTAGTATAAATAGCAGGAAAATCCCAACATGCTGCTCTCTGGGAAAAACCCACTGGATTTTATACGAAACTGTGTTTAGCTACCTTAAAGGTAATAATTTTTTTTTGCAATTCACTTTTTTGTATATAGGTGCAAAGAGGAGAGAATTCCAAACATTTTGATGCATAAATTAGCGACATGTGATACTATAAATACTAATAAAACAAACTGGGCGGTCACTTTGAGAGGGGTGAGTGAGGTCTTAGGGAGTTTTGGTATAAAATTACATTGCATAAGCTCAAAATCTTCTTGAAATATCGCCCGGAAATGATTGTGTTAAACACAGACAGAATGTATAAATTTACGACCTTGAATTTTAACCTTTTGACCTCAAAATCAATATGGGTCTTCATTAGGCCACAGGGAGTTGTCATGTAAAATTATAGTTTAGAATTCAAGATGAATATCTTAATTTTTGTTAATAATATTTCAAAAGTTGATATGAAATAAATTCAGGCCGTAGCTGACACTAACTTAGATGTACCCGCAAATGCTTTAACATTAGGCCTATGGGAAAATATGAGAAGGTGGCATTTATAAATCGATGGTTAGAATATGAAGTGCATGAGGGTCACTCACCTAGTTTTGCCCACTTATTAGATATACCCTACACACTAATATTTTACAATATGATGAGTGTCGCGTGAGCACTTCATATCCAAAAATTGAAAATTGTCTAAAATTTGCATACCTATAATTAGCACCTTCTGTTTACTTGATCATACATCAGGTAAAAATACTAAGCCAAAAGTAGCACATTTTTGTTAAAAATTAAAGATAATTCTCGAAAACATTAACTATAGAATACATTTTCGGATACATTATATCCATACTTATTTCGTCGCCAGCATATAACGTTAACGTCACATTTTTCGTTAAACTACACGGACTAGGGGAGTTTTCTAAATACCGTCGGCAATGGTGTTCCCAGTTAAAAAAAAATTCAAGCAGATTATTTTTTATATCATCTAGTGCCCTGATCTAGTTATCCCTTGTCACATGTCGGCTTTCAGATGCTGCTTTTTACGCTAATATGTGTCGAGGTCAATGTTTTTACAGTATTAGTTCAAGTTTTTTATAGCAATGCTGCTATAAGTACTTGATGACCGAACATGCTTCATGATGCATCTTCGGATGCACAGTACCAGACTTGTTTCAGAAGCTGAGCCTGATTTACATTTCATTGATGAATGCTCAGAGTAAAAGGTTGACCAAAAATGCACTTAATTATGACAAATTTAGGGTTGCACATTGCCAGAAATGGTCCAGATGCTGGATCTTAATTATATTTTCTGACTGATTGAACTAAAGAAGTGAAAACAAGTCCATTCTTAGCTTTCTGTTTCAAACATATATAAAACAAATATTTAATATAAGCCTTTTTATCGAATACAAACCCTTGCTCCAGTCTGCTAGAGAATGTTTTTTTATGTTTTTCCGTGTGGTTGATACATTGGAAACCCACTAACATTGAGACTTTGCACAGTACATATTGTTATGCCCCTTGAATTTGGGGGCAATGAAAATGACCTCAGCTTGACTTTTCAATTTGCAACATTGATTTTTATCACAACACACTCTAAAATCGCTTAAGTAATATAAGGTCTAAACTGAAAACTTAGAATTTCATATTATTCTGATTATGCGTTTCTTTTTTTGTTCAGTATATTATATTAAGCGCGTACGGTATTTTGGCGGAAATTGGATTTTGAACAAGTTAGTGTGGATTTGATTTAGCGCATATCTTAACGTTCTTCTATAGATATATATGTGCGAGGCATTTAGCGTTGTACTTGAATAAGCGGAGATTGCTTTCCTCCAAAAGTGCTAAAAAGAATACACAGCCAAATTTTGTACGTTTACAGTATTTCTGTAGGGAACGTAAATTTAATAAAGACTAGATTTTGATGTATTGGTTTCTGCAGGATTTGGGATTTAACACATATCTTTGACATTTATAAATGTATTTTGAACTGCGATCTGATTAGCACTTAATCAATGAGGTCTAGTAAATGTAACTAGAATTGGTGAAGCAAGACGAAAAAGGTCCTGGCCTATTTCAGTTGCTGAGAACATAATGCTCATTTTTAAGTTGTTAAATACTGCATAACCAATTATAGTTTTCAACCTGCAAGTATAACCTGGTTTTATTATTTTTTTAAATGTAAATTCCATAAAAAAAATATTTGAAGCGAAATAGAATACAAATATGATCTATTACTTATCGAGGTTGACTCAATAACCAAAACTTAGCAAAATATTTACAAGCATTTCGAAAAATAATTTCGACACCCTTTTAAAAAATCATAATACCGTCAAACATCAAATTCAATAAAGCGAAACGGAATTCAAACTCGATCTCTAATTCAGCAATATACAGCTTATTAAATTGAAATCTGCAAGCAAGCGTCTATAGAGAAAAGTGCGGAAAACTAAATGTGACAGACTGACAGACAGAGGGACGGACAGCCAGACATACGGACAGGCGATAAGGATACTGTACTTGTATTCGCCTCTGGTTTCACCGGTAAGGAACTGATAATTGTTATATTGATAAAATATATTGACTATATAAAGCTTGGTTTAAAATTAAATTTTATTGTATTACTATATAATTTCACAAAAAAATTTACACTTTAACTTTAGTTGATGAAAATATAATGAAAACAGTTGAAAACACCTGTAAATTTCAGTCAAAGTTGATCTGCCTCATGTCTATTTTTTTTTACATTTGCTTCCCTGCGTACTTGAAAACTATTACAAATTGATTATTATGTTCAAATATAAACTGTCAGTAATTTCTTCTAGTAAAAGTTTCTGTTCATATTGTATAAATATGTACATGTATTTTAAGTTAAATTCATCCTCTTTTAAAGAAAAGTTACAATTAAAACTCGAGAAAAATCTTAGACCTTAATAAACATTCACATGAAATAAATGTTATTAATTTTCCGTAAAAATGAATATTGAAATTGGTTAATTGATGTCTTTATTCACATTTATCACATTTCATTTATGATTTGACGTTGAAAAAACTCCAGTATCCCGTTTTAAAAATGCCTTCTCCTAAAATGAAGGGAAGGGGGTATACTTAAACTTTTTAATTATCACGTGACCGGAAAATGTGCAGTATTAATTATTTTCATATCTTTAGGAAGCTAAGACATTTATCTACAACATATCACAATTTCATAGCATTTCTCGAGGGGCCACAGAACAGCCTTATCGAAACTGCACCTTTTTGCTTCGAGTTGAACCCCATTTTGAGAACAGCTGAAATTATGACATCACTAATTAAATTGTCAGCTACTTATTGGTATATTATAATTTTCCTGATACTTTGCAATATCATATAATTTTAGATCAATATATGCTTATATATGCTTATAGTGTTTTGGTATCATGCTCGATATTCAGATTATGCGCATTTAGATGTGTAACATATATTGTGAAACACCCTGTATATATACATGTATGTGGCTTCACTTCTGCATGATATATACTTGACCTCATGTAAAGCGATTCCGAGGTTTAGTGGTATGTCTCACGCTTCACTTGCGAAAAGTCCCTGGATCGAAACTCGGACTATTCTTCCCTTTTTTAAAATTCTTTTTCTTTTTTTTTTCTACTAAATGATATTTATCAGCATGTGAAATAAAAAAAATTATTAGGTTATAAAATCATCATTACAGTGTGATAAATATTCCATATAAAAAGAATCTTCTATACACATAATAAAGAATAAGCAATCAAATCTTTAAATGCATGTTGACATACATGCATTTTATTTGCTTCAGTATACATGTATACATCAAATAATTCTACAAATTCAGTCAGGGGGATCCTACTTTTTCCCTAAGCGGGGGACACGAATTCTCTGAATTAGCTTGTATTATTTAGATCGGGATCGACATACAGGTTCTCAAGTACGAAAGCGAAAGTACAAAATCCCATGTTGCAATAAATTGGTGGTTTCTGAGGTCAAGACGATTATAATGTAACAACATGACAGAGATCTTGAACTTGGGTCTATTCTACCTTGATAAAGCCGTAACACAGCTAGGTTATCCCAGGAAAGAGGTGGAGAAGGCTGCAGGTGAGGTGAGACAGGAAGTCACATCAAAAGCTAAGGAAGTAATGGCCCTGCACGGATCAAGGTTTTTCCTAAGAATCGGCGGCCTGTCCGGTGCAGTCGCAGTATCAATGGCTGCGTATGGAGCTCATGGTATTATTTTAATATCTATCTCAATAGAAAATGTATTTTTGTTTGTCGGCAGTGTCGTACATTATTGAGTTGGCTCGCGTAGCGAGCGACTCCCTGTCGACATAGCCGTTTCAGAATCAGAGGGTTAAGCGTTTCAGAGCTGTAAAATTTTTCACGCATTCATCAAGGTGATCCATACGCCAAAGATAATAGTTCTAGCAAAAACATGCTTTGGTTTGAGTGATTGTATAAACTTAAGAGGTAAAAACTGCATAAAATTCCATACTGTAACATTATTTATACCTTCATGCTTTTAAAGAAATTTTTGATTAAATACCTGTAAGATGTACAATTACTGCGTATGAATATGTTCAAAAATGTTAGGCGGATCTAATCTTCCCATCTGAAGTTTATTTATAATTGTCCTAGACATGCCAAGAAAACCTTAGCATTCTCTCCGTATAGCAAACTCAATAAAAGCCGAATTAACATTAATCTGTGATTCTCCCCCTGGGAGACGTGCGAAAGCAATTAATGTCTGCAGTTTTGAGGGAGGGATCTTAAAATTTACTGGGTTAAAATTATAGGTAGAATATTAGTTATTTAGAAGCCTTTACCCCCCCCAATTGCCTTTTTCGGGGGGGGGGGATGATATTAATTATAGTAAAGTAATTCTTCAATAAAATAAGCTGCCTTTCAATTTTTTTTACGTAATTCAATTTCAAAATATTTTTCTCAGTACAGATAAATTGACGTCTGGTAGTTCATGTAGTTGTTGAAGTACCGCGTGGAAATATAGATAAAAGAGTACCAAATTTCCGGAAGTTTACATCATTTCCTGGTTGAACAAGATGGAGACGAGTACTGAATGGGTAGACGTTACCCGATTGGCTATGTGTATATTTTCATTTTAAAGTGAATATTTTCTTTTGTTTTTTTTTCTTATTTTCTTCAGTCCAATGTTTGTTTTTTTTTAAATAAACGTATTTTGTAAATAAAGATATTTGACAGTAACTTTTTAGGGTATTTGTACTACTTCCTGGGGTGGAAGTTTATTTTTTCTTTAACTAAGAAAGCTTAAAACCTAGGATCCACCCCCAGAAGTCTGCTGCAGTAAATTGTCTTGCTGGCGTTTTGGGAATATGGGTGATTTGCATCAATTACACTTTTATTGACTCCATCGCTGTCGAAATCGGACGAGATTTCTTGGCATGTACTCCGTAACACCTGCTGCTCCCTCATTAGCTGCAGCTAGTTGTTGTTGAAAATCTATTTTTAGAATCCAGATTTGCTGTGGGAATCTATAACCTAATTATTCCATAACACTGACCACTTCAGCTAATGTGCTGAAATTCATTATAGAATCCAGTCAAAATAATACGGAAGCCCATTAGTGCCAACCTGTATTTATAAAGGAAAAGCAATACCGTATACACTTTATTTATGAACCGAACATGGATCAGACATATAATATTTATTAATCTCTTAAGATGCAAAATAAACTGAATATATGAAGGTATTGTGCCCAGATGTATGAAAAAGCTCAATTGACTCGAGCGAGTCAACTCGCAGGCCCTTCAGGCCTTTGATTTACCATGCTAGCTGCAGATCTATAGCGTTATGGTTTTAACGTTATATATTTTGTCTTTGACCATAACGCTACAGATCCCGTAATGCAAAAAAGGTGCAATTTACGGCACAATTTTTTTTGCGCTCTTTTGAAGAGAATTTCTCCACTTTCCAGCATCGGTCAATTAAGTACCTTTCACTTCCTATTTATAGGCACATTATTTAATTAATCTGTATATTTTATCCGTCTCCTACTCCAGCATGCTAGAGGTTCACGGCGAGATACTTTTGACTTGGCGCCGCGTAACCTCTAGCATCCATTGTAAAAATTCTCGCCGCTGAAACCCCAAGTGGAAATAAATTATTTTATTAAGAAATAAAGCTTTGTATATTAAGGAATGGTACAAAATAATAAAATACTCAATATTTACGATAAAACTTACGCATAAAATACTGTTAACCTCTCATATTAGCAATAAATCCATTATTTTTTAAATCAAAGCAGAAATTGAAACAATTCATCTGTTTAAAATTCAGAAATGGAATTCAGAAAATCTGACGAAACGAAACTAGTGTAAGGCAACGAAAATTTCGTTTTCTGACAACCAATCCGCAAAATTAATGTGAAGTCAAATCGAAAGTACTTCTGGTGACAAATTGGAATAATGACAATTTTCTTTAATTAACAATAATGCACACTGAATAAAATGGATTTTATTATTTCTTGTGGCTTTCATACCCCATGCAAACACGTAGGTACCTGAAAATTACTTGTTAACAGTTTATTTCAAGCATAATACGTTCGGCCCAAAATCTGAGGCGGAACGAGCTCGTTAGAAAATGGCCTTCGGATGTAAGAGTCCGAGGTATATAAGGAGCGTAGGGACGTTAACCGAGGCTCTTACTTGTAGGAGTAATCCATCTCCCAACCCTTTATAGCTGTCTCTACAAGTGTTAAACTCGCTGGATGAAGATTATTTGTTAGATTGCTGAAAATTCACTTCAAGTGAGTTTTTTGCCTGTAGAGACAACTATAAATGGTTGGGAGGTGGATAAAATATACATATTGGCTACAGAGTGTGTCTAGACTTAGAGAGTGAAAGGTAGTTGATTGACCAATGCTAAAAAGTGGAGAAATTCTCCTCAATAGAGTGCAAAAAATATAGCGCCGTAAATTGCACCTTTTTGCATTACAGGATCTGTAGCGTTATGGTCCAAAGACAAAATATATAAAACCATAACGCTACAGATCTGCAGCTATTACCATGCATACTTTGTGTGCATATTCAAAGGCATCTGATTTCATCATAAAATTGAATATTTTGATATAGTATATGGCTAATTTAATAGATGGAATGAAATGACAACAGTTTTCAAGACTACGCCACCTCCTAACATACTTTAAAATCCTTAGCACAAAAATCTGAAAATACTTTTTATCTCACTTTAAACTGTACCTGTTTAAAGCAATAATTGTCTTCAGAATTTATTTTGGAATCCATATTTTCATAAAACTTGTCCAAATTTTATGGTGCAGAATTTTTTTATTTTAATTAACATAAAATAAAGACAATTTTTTTTTTACCAATAATTCAGTATAACTATGGATAAATATGATTTACACACATTGATTTCACATGGATCCAGGTTTTTTTTCCCAGTATATTGCTAGAGTCTACATCATCTCTAACAAATATCAGACTGGTGACTTTCTGGCCATACAAAAATGTGAACATAAGAATTTTTAAGTCATTTTTTTAGGTACATGTCTCTTTGCCATTTTAAGAGGAGTTAATGTTTCCTAGAGGGGATTGAGGTAGACCCCCCTTTGCCCCTTCAGCACCTTTTAAATCTGTGTAAACATCTGCCCCTATTGTAGCATTAGCTGTACCTGCAGATATTTCAAGACTGGTCCAAGAGACTTAACATTTTGTTGCTGGAACAGAAATAAGAAAAGAAATTTTTAATTTATAAAAGTAACAGTGCAAAAAAAGAACTCTACTTGTATATATTTGTCTTTGAATTGTTGATTTATATACTTTTATATTTTAATTTAAAGCTTTCAAAGTTGAAGATGAAAAAGGAGAGCAGTTGAAAAAGGTAAGTATTATTAGATAAAAGAAAACGCTAAATGATTTCTTGGCGCTTTTTAAACGTGCTAACTTTCTGTGGTTGATAATACATTGAATGTTCACTCTTGTATTATTAAGGCTTGTATATCTACATCAATTTACAAATTTCAATGTTAGTTTACAAAATAATACATGTATATGAAAATATGCTTTCAATGAAATTAACCTCTATTACACATTTTCTTGGCAGGATTTGATTTAAAATATATTGTGTAAAAAACACTGAGCTACTTTTGATTTATTATATATCATTTCTTTGCTTTAGATTTTTGATACCGGGAGCAAGATGCATTTGGTGCATTCTGCAGCACTAGTGTGCTCTCCTCTGTGCAACAGACCATACCTGGTAAGTACTGGCTACATACTGGGTTTTAGCAGCAGTTGTACACATTTTGTGGACGGGACAAATCCACAATCAAAGTACTGAAAGTACTGTTAGACGGAGGCTTCATGTATGAGAGAACACAAAAGAAATATATATGTCATACATTGCTGTAAAGAATATTATGAGAAATAATGTGTAGTTTTTTTTTCAATTCAACATTTTTTTCAAAGGATACTCCAATATTCATGAGGTTTTTGGGATATTATAATTTCATCTTTGTAATGTAAACTTCGCCTTGATTAAAGTTCACTGTTATTTAGATGAGATACTTTCAATATTAAACCTTTCAAAGTAAGAAACAGTAATTGACTAAGCCTGGTTGACATAAAACTTAGACGGGCTAACTTTTTATCCCAGTCTCACTTAAGGAATATATAGTGGAAAAGTGAGACTGAGATCAAAAGTGAGCTTGTCTAAGTTGTATGCCCCCAGGCCCGGTTTGATGAATGTAGGTTTAGTATGTTCTAGTCATGAGCCCACTGGCGGAATTAAAAGGGGCCCCTGGCCCCCTCCCTTTTGAGTCCAAAAAATACGCAATATTTGATAAATGAGTGTTTTAATTGTGGCTGTGGGCCCCTTCCCTGACCTCAAACTGGTCCCCCTATTTCAGAATTTCTGGATTCAGCACTAGGCCTCAGCCTGTCAGGAGTCTCCATATTTCAAGATATCTTATTTATAGGTCACAGAGACCTACTGTTAACATAATTATGACCTGTAACAGCTACCAAAATCAAAATTTCTCGGCCTTATTGTAATAATGTTATGATATGAGCTAACATGGAAAAAGAAGCAGCCAGGTAATTGGACATGAACAACATAATATATTACAGTTTGTCTTAAACCTTTGTGATACAAAATGGGGTGACCTAGCTTGAAAGCAACACAGAATTTTCTTTAAGTAATACAACTTCATTAACATGCAATAAATGTTCGTGCCAGAACACAATTTTTTGAGTGGAATAAAATATACTTTCTTACTTTATGTAAACAGAACAATCAAGTTCATAAGACTTGCTATTTCACAAGTTTAAATTGTTTTTGGAGAACTGGAGTATTGCTTACAATAACAAAGATATATCTTGACAAATTTGACAACCAATATTTCTGGAATTATTAAATGTAGTATTTTATCATATGACAGATTAACCCAAAAAATGTCTTTCTTTACTCGTATACCAGTGGAAATGGTTGTCCTTTTCAGTTTATCTGTTTAAAACAATCATTAACAATGAGACATGATTACAAATTACGTAGAGAAAACTTATAAATATATAACTATGATTTCTGCTTTTCAGTTAAAACAATCACTTTACCAATGATGTAGGTTAAAAAAAATTGACATGAATACCAATGATCAGAAATACATGTAATCTTGTATATAATAAATAAAGTTTGGGATGTGAAAGAGGTAAAACACAAGTATCAAATGCAAATAAGGATCAACGATATGACAATAAGACAACTTATTTCAGAAGATATGATTTTTAATTATTAATTAGGATATTATGTGATAAATCATGTAAATCCTATGAACCAAGATTTGGGTTGTACACAAGGGTCAAACGTTACAAATGCATTTTGATCTCAATATCAGAGTTGCCGTTTGTTTCTCTCTTATCTAATGTGAGGGTACCCCAAACACTCAAACCGCTTGTAGAAAGTGTAAATCTATTTTCATGTGTTTCCTGAAATTATACATAATATCAAATAAACAATTCAAAACTAGACTGTTAATATTCCTACATATAAAAATACTATGCATTTGTTTATTCATCGATCCTTGTCAGATTAAAAAACTCCATGAAACCTATTGATGCAAGCGTCAAAAATCAGCTGCAAACCAATTTATCGGTCCTTTCAAAAAGAAATTAGAAAAGGAATGAAAATGAGATTACAAACAACAATCAAGCACAAAAAATTCCATTAAAACTGAAATGCTTGATCTATTATTAAAATATCTTATATTTATACCTGCGACATAAAACATTTGCATGCGACATAGCAGGATTTTCTTCAATACATAATACAGGTACATCTGCGTCTCCACACTTAGTTTGATACACAGGCGAATTCTGGTGGAAGTTTTTACAATTAAATATAAAACTAAAGTTTAAACTAATCTGTAACTAGAGATAGTTTTTACTTTAATAAAAGAATCAATTGATAAGTGGGGTTCCTCGATCACTCTCCGCGGATGTTAACCCCCCCCCCCTAACTCCCTCTAGATCCGCCACTTCATTTCTTCTCGTTCTTGTTTTGGTGTGAGAACCGGCGGGAAAAGGCTCGGCATATTGTAAAACATGCTTTATCATCATCTGTTGGAACAAAATCTCCTAATATTCTGTCTGATAAAAATTAATAGTAAATCACATTTTTTTTTTACATATTCCGTAGGAAATGTATTTATATACACGTCATTTTAAAAAAATATTAGACAAATCCTGTTTATTTACAAAAAGTAGAACTGCTTGTTTATACTTGTATGTGACGCGATCTTTGTTTTAGACTATGCCTATCCTTGCGGTCGGTGTAACGCAGAGTCGCTCTAAAAATAGAATTCTCAAGGTAATGAAAACAATTCCACCGATAGATGGTGCTTGGGAAATCTTTCCTGTTTACATTCCATGGGCAAGACAATCCCTATACACGGAGGCTGTCATACAGCCTCCGTCTAAAAACAACAACAGCAAAATATTCTTCAAATATCATTGCAGCTGTGTATTTTCTTCAATGTTTTATCTAGTCACATTGTTTTAATGTTAGGCCAAAACAAAAAATAGTCTTGTTTCCTGCTACCCAACCTACCCTATTTTTTTGCACCCAACCATAAAGTTTTTTTTATGTTTTGGGGAAAAAAATGTAAATTTCAGGAATTTCATGTTCAAAAAGTAAAGAAAAAAATATTATCAAGTGGTAGTTCATAAAACTGTATGTAAAGATGTGATAATATCTAATTTTGAAATACAGGTAACTCTTGATGGCTCGAACTTCGATCTCTCGAAGTTCTTGATCGCTCGAAGTGAGTCTCCAGTCCTGATTTCTTCCCCTATATAATTAAGCAAATTTACTCTTGATTTCTCGAACTCTTGATCTCTCGAAACCCTTGATCCCTCGAAGTCAAAATAAAGTCCCGCTATGCATATTCTATTGAAATTTTCCCTCGATACCTTTAAGTTGGTATGTTTATACAAGTTATATAAATAGCAACTTTACCTGGACATTTAATGGCCCCAGGCAGAAGACGTGGGTCTCGTGAAACGGGATGTTTATTCAGGTGACACTTATATTGCAAGGTGATAATTGATTTATAATTAATCTTATGTTGCCTATATGCTATTAAAATAATTAACATCGACTGTATTACGATAATTTAGAAAGCAGTGTCACTGAGAAATTATAATTGCAGATTACAAAACGAAACACTTATTAAAGAACTTTATTCGGTAATAACCAATATTTGCCCCCAAAATCAAACTTTGATGGAGATATATTTAATTAAGTTCTTATACAGGGGAGTATATGCTGACTTCAAAGCACTGAAAATTTTCATAAGTAATGACGCCATATGTACGTAATGACGTCACAAACATGACGTAAATTTCAGTTTTTTTATGAATTTTGCAGAAAAATGTACATATTTCGTCGATATTTTGAGTAAAAGTCACCAAGCGCATGTGTGTTCAGGATCAATATTTTGATATAATGTGTAGAATGATAATATCAATAAAATATGTCAATATTGTTCCTGAACAAACTTGCGCTCTATAAATTTTAAAGCTAAAATTGTTGAAAATTTGTCCATTTTGTCCTCTTTCTGAAAAGGGATATAAAATCGGACTAGTTTGTGACGTCATAAAAACAAAAATTGTGAATACACTGCTTTGACACCATAATATTTTATGTTAATTTATATTTCTCGTACAATTTATTGAATTCAGCACATTTCAGAAAGTTTTCAAAAGTTGACTTTTGTGGGGGCAATATATGCAATATACCGCATATAGTTCTTTAGTTTTTATTTCAAGTCAGTGTCAAAGTTTAACGAAATATGAAAATCCAGAAACAGCCTTAGTGTCAATATGACGACTATTGTTGGACAAATACTTACAGAACATTGTTCAATGCATGTTTTTGGAAAAAATCACAATGATATGCACCACGCGGGGCTGTAAAATGTCGTTTTCATATAACGAATGCATAGTATGATGTCCGTATTGTAAAGAATAAAAAAAATAAACATAAAATGATGATGTGCATTTTTTTTGCTTTACTCAGATTAAAAGATATTCATCTAAAATACGAAATCATATCACTGTTTTATAAAAACCACGTGTGAAAAGGTAGTACTGCATGAAAATCATTACATCCGGTTAGACTAATTTTAAATACTGCCAAAAAAAAAAAAATGTAAAATTCCAGACTCTTGAAAACTAGAACTCTTGATCTCTCGAAGTTTGTCCTCAGTCCCGCAGACTTTCGAGGTATCAAGATATACCTGTGTAATGTTGACCTATTACATTTTTTTTGTTTTTGTATTAGTTCATATCCAAAAAATACCTCTGGAAAAAATAAAATAAAAAAATAAAATAATTTTTGTTCCTACCTACCCTATTTTTTCAGGCTGGTAGCAGGAAACAAGACTATTATTTTTTTGGCCTTATCACCAGTTCCTAACTGCTTACTGTGTATCATAAAAATCATGACTCTGAAAAAAAATAGTGTATGATAATTTAAAGATTCAGGTCTAATGCACTGTGAACAAGTTAAACATGTCATTGATGTTTAAAATATGTTAATTACCACAGCTGCAGTATTCTTCCAAATCTGAAGGAAATGTGCAAATCTAGATAATTAACCATTCTTTACAGCAACTTACTGTCCAGATAACAATTACTGAATTCCTGTTTTCCTGCAGGAATGTGCATGGTAAATTTAAACATTACATTTGTTTATTCTATAATCTTCTGTTGTAGACTGGCAGTTTGTTGACCCTGGGAATCGTCCTGTTTTCTGGCAGTTGTTACGTTCATGCTTTAACGGGAAACACAAAAATCCGATACATCACCCCCTATGGAGGATTTGCCCTCATCTTTGCTTGGTTAAGCATGCTGTTATAATGAGTAACATCAAACAGACAGACTGGTGTGATGTGAAGAAAAGTTGTGATAAATTGTAAATGTATATTTCATATTCTATACTTTTAAAATCATGTGTAAGAAACTTTTTTATATTGATTTTGAGTTCTTTGTAATACAATGGAGACCAAAATTTGTCTTATGACACACAATAAAGTACTGATAAAAAGTTATTCTTTATATTGTTGAAGAAAAGAGGTAATGAAGT